CCCCTTGATAATTAAATCAATATTATATGGGAACTGCATCTATTCCATGAGAAAGACATTTTAAATAGCGAAAATAATATGTCACATGGCACAACAAATTTTAATTAAATAGTTGTATAATCACCTTGCAGAGTGAAGAAAGTGGAAAGAAGTGAACCTACATTAGAAGTGTCAGAATTTCATTTGGTTAAAAGTGGCATATCTGATCAAGATACAGTTCATGTGCAGGAAATAGCTAGAATTTTAAGGAAAAAAGGTCATCATATTGAGATTGCAAGGAACATAGAAACAGCAAAAAAGAATATTCGTGTATTACCAAAACCATTGGAGAAACCTGCAGCAGAAAGGGTGAGACAGTTAGTTGTTTTATGTAGTAAAAGATCGTAGTCTGTACATAATTCTACATAAGTATTAAGAATAATGTAATAATACACATTTAAAATTGATAAGATTGTTAATTTCTAGATAAAGAGAATAGTTGGCTTTGAAGGTACAAAGAAAGAACTAAAAAAAAATGGAACGCAGTAATAATGAAGAACAGAGTAGCAGACTCACTTCAGTTTCCTTTGAATCATTCGTCATTAAAATTGGAATCATCTAACGAGTTCGTAAAAAAATTTAGAATTCAATCAGATCTAGAGAAAGAACTTGCTGCATTAGAACCACAGAAAGAAAATATTGAAGAGAAAGACGACGAGTTCTCTTTGACATTAAAAGAAATTGCTATTAAGAGAAAGGAAGCTGCGAAAATTAGAGCACAACAGGTGTGGATCAAAGTACTTCGATACTTTCTCAAATACCATTTTAATTTAATTCTTCCCTCAGTCGTATAAAGAAGCAAAGGCACGGCGTCAAAACAAGATTAAGAGTAAAAAATTTCATCGCGTGCAAAAGAAGGAAAAGATAAAACAGCAATTAAAAGAATTTTCACACGCATTTTTCGTTATTTTAAATATCTCAAAACAAATTATTTACATCATTTCTTATACACGATTACAAAACACTTGAAGTACTTTTACGGATTAGCACGGATTAAAGTACATTTATATCTGTTATATGTACATTTATTGTAAACGTATCAGAGTGAAGGTTTACTTGCTATTTTACAATGAAACAACTCATTAATAAGAAATATATATTTCACAGTATCGAAAACCTTTTTATAATACATACACTGAAACTTTTGTCCTGTATAAAAATATTATTAGAAACCAATCATTTAATTAATTTCTTAAGTCACTAAAAACGTAACAAAAGTGAAAGAACAATATAAATAAAAATATTATATAATATAAATATACATTCATGAGAATTATTTGGTCATTTGCTTTAAATTCACGTTGACTAATTGGCTCGTGTGGTAACAAGGTTTCTGATTGTATCGTATTGATTCCTGAAGTACCTGGCATCGGATCTTCCGCTAAGTTCTCAGGAAGATCTGTTGGCTCATTCCAATTGAATCCTCTTATTTCCATACTAAATAATAATGTAATTGTATTTTTAGTTATTAATGTACACATGAAATAACACAGACATGTTTATAATTATAATAAAAAACTATTTAATCCTTTGAACTCGTAATATTGCATAATGAAATATGAAATGTAAGGGATAATAAAAACAAAAATGATGGTTGAAACGAGTACAAACGATTAACAGAGAGATATTTTTCTATCTGCAGAATTAGTAATTGAGATTTTTGGAAATGAAAAAGTGAGTATTAAGAATAGGATCTTGGAAGTGATGATAAATGACGGAGAACTGACAAGGATCCTTCTCCTTCATGTAATAGGAATCTCTCCAGTTCGTCAGTGGTAAGCACTCCGAAATTCATGTCTTCTTGTATCTAAATTTAAATTGAATGTAATATAGTAACATGCAGGTTTAAAATACGAGGTCAGTGCAAAAGTTTGTGCCTCATTTGCAGAGGCAGGTCATATCACATCGTACTTCGACATAGATATTCGTTTTAATATTATATTGTATAAACCTATCTAAAAATAGTACCCTCGCAAGTCTTCATTTTGTCTATTATTATACAAGTTTGGAAAGGACCTGAATATTGAAATTGTAGCAAAAACATTCTATTTGTACATTTGGACTGTGCTCTTGCTTCAAATCAGACAAGAACTTTTGCAATAAAATGAAGGAACAAGATTAAGGAAATAAGACATGCAGCAGCTCTCTTTGTTTTCATTACAAGGAATGATTTTTTCTTACCAAATGTTCACTGGTAATGGGATAAGGTTCTTCTGTAATCAAATGTTTATCCCTTGAGAATGGCAATGCGAGAGCGGGAGGTTCTGGTACCTCGAATAAAAAATCGGATACTGGATGTTCTTGATCCGCGTTTCTTAATCTAAAAAATTATAAGCGTTTACTATTTATACAAATCAGATCTTTCCTAAAGATAAGTACTTCAATAATCATACCTTTTTCTATTATGTAAATTACGGATCTCATTGATTACGCTATCTACAATAAAATAAGAAAACAAAAAATGTTAGAAAAATTTACGAAATACACTTTATTATAAAATATAATAAAGTTCATTATGAAAATTTCGTGACCTTGGAAGTATTTTGTTTGATAGTAAAGAATTCTCGTAGCGCCGAACATTAATTGAGACGAAAGGTAAAGACTTAATCTAACATAGTTTCCCCTGCCTCGCTGTTCAATTACTGATGAGACTTCGGCGCTGAAAATTTAAAGAAAAACCATAGGTATATGACAATAGATCGAGCACCTAAATGGTGGAGACTCTAGACCAGGTGATTCAGAGATAAAAAATGCATTGAAGAGCATGGATCAGCTCCATATAGAAGAGTTCGTTTATTTACTCTATTTTCTCTATATTTTATGGCATTAACAAAATTACATTGAACCCTAGGTCTACTTTCATATGTTTAAATGAAAAACAGCTTGACCGGTTCACAAATAACCAAGTAAATAGTGTGCGATTTAAGAAAGTACGGAGTCAACTGTACGGATACATATATAAGACAAAAAGAGAATCATACCAAACAGCGGCTACATCGATTTGTTTAATCATTATTGCTTTGCAAGTTTTTTTAAACATCTCCTCGCCTAAAATTGCGGCTAACCAGACTCGAGCCAATTTACCCCTTCCTCGAAGGGAGAGCAGCTCCGTTGAGTAAAACATTGTATAATAATTGATGACAATTAATTAAATTATCAAAATCGTATAAAATACAAATTGAAATGATAGAACTTCGTTAAAACTGACTACGACCGTTACAACTCTTACACCGGTTTCCTTAAAGTGGTTCTGGTCGTTCAGTCGTTCTCATTGGTTTTTCTGTAACTCCGAACTCAATCGAGTGTAAGTAAAATAAATCTTTTTAAATGTTGATCTTGTTAAATGATAAATAATATTTGTTAAATCTATTTATGAATTTTGACGCG